ACTAGTAACCATAATGTTCCTCATGTAATTGTAGATTTATGATACCAAAAAGAAAAGAAAAACTCATATGGAACCACAAAAAACCCCAAATAGTCAAAGAATTCTCCAAAGAAATTCAGATGGCCAACAGACACATGAAAAGATACTCCACATTGCTAATTATCAGGGAAATGCTAATTAAAACCACAACATCACCTCACACCAGTTAGGATGGCCAACATAGAAAAGACTAGTAACAAGTGCTGACCAGGATGTGAAGAAAGCAGAATTCTCCTACACTGCTGATGGGAATGTAAATTAGTTCAACCATTGTAGAAAGCAGTATGGAGGTTCCGCAAAAAACTCAAAATAGAAATACCATTTGACCCAGGAATTCCACTCCTAGGAATTTACCCTAAGAATGCAGCAGCCTAGTTTCAAAAGAACATAAGGACCCCTGTGTTTATTGCAGCACTATTTACAATAGCCAAGAAATGAAAGCAACCTAAGTGTCCATCAGTAGATGAATGGATTAAGAAGAGGTAGTACATATACACAATGGAATATTATTCAGCCATAAGAAAACAAATCCTACCATTTGCAACAACATGGATGGAGCTACAGGGTATTATGCTCAGTGAAATAAGCCAGGTGGAGAAAGACAGGTATCAAATGATTTCACTCATCTGTAGAGTGTAAGAACAAAACAAAAACTGAAGGAACAAAACAGCAGAAGACTCACAGAACCCAAGAATGGACTAACACTTACCAAAGGGAAAGGGACTAGGAAAGATGGGCGGGAAGGGAGGGATAAGGGGGGAAAAGGAGCATTACGATTGGCACACATAATGTGAAAGGTGGGTGGTACGGGAAGGCAGTATAGCACAGAGAAGACAAGTAGTGCCTCTATAGCATCTTACTACACTAATGGACAGTGACTATAATGGGGTATGTGGTGGGGACTTGATAATGGGGGAATCTAGTAACCATAACGTTGCTCATGTAATTGTATATTAATGATACCAAAATTTTAAAAAAACAAAACAGTATTGGTATGGTTCATTAGCTGTAACATATGTACCACTGAAAGATGTTTATGGGGAACTGGGTGAACTTGCTGTACTATTGTTAGGTTTTCTGTAAATCTGCAAAGCCATTGTAAAATATAAAAAGTTTAAAATAAAAATTACATATACACACATACATATACATAGTTGTTTTCTTTTTTGAAAGCAAAGGAGTTAATTGCTGATAAAGGCTTGAAAGAGGGAGGGACATGGCCACAGGAAGAGAGAATTAAAGGGACATTCATTAAGGGGAGAGGCATTCAGCTGGGTGGGGTATGTGTTCATTTCCTACTGGGGCTGTAATGACCACATACTGTTTGTTTTACAAAGCAATTTTACTAGACTTTTTGACGTTGGAAGTCCAAAATGGTTTATACTAGACTAAAATCCTCAGTGGGGCTGCTTCTTTGTGGAAGCTCTGGGAATAGTTGTCTTCTTGCCTCTTCCAGCTTCCAGACCATTGTTCCTTGGCACAAGGACTTTTCCCCTGTCTTCAGAGCCAGCAGCACTGTATCATTTTCACCTGCCTCACGTTGACCCTTGTGACTTCCTGTCTTTATAGGACACTTGTGATTACATTGGGCTCATTCACAGGTTCTGAGGTTGAGGATGTGGACATCTTCAGGGACTCTGCCTCACAGGATGTCACCAGGGAGGTACACTGGAGGCCCTGAGGGGAAAGTGAGGTCAGCCCAGGATAGAGGGAACCTGAGGTGCCTGTGCCACATCCAGGGACTCCCTTGGCTCCCATCTATTCACCATTTACACCTCCCATATCACTGGGGATATGAAGTTGAACACTGCATGTCACTGGTCCTAAGATACCTTTTCACTTCTGAACACTGCTGAAATCAGGAAGTATCTTTCAGTTAATGACATTTTATCACTAATTGGCAGTTTTCTTTCTTCATGACACATAAAGGAGGATGCTTTACAACTGAAGGCATCTTGGAGTCATTGAAAGCCAGGTTTGGGCTGGCACTCTAGTGGGCCTAATTATTACAAAGTCAGAGACTTCACTAGAGCTTCAAGTATCACTACCCCACATCAAGTCTTTCCTAGTTCCTAGCCTGGGTCCTTCCACTCTGGAGTTCCCATGTGTCCCTGGGCTCTGGTGCTCAGCTCTCCCACAACTAACAGACTCCACCAGAGACCTGGCCACATGCACACTCAGCTTGACTACCACAGCAGGATCCAGGACCCAGCCCCTCTCCTAAGGTATAACCTGTCGTGGGAGTCATGCCAGCAGAGAACCACCTGGCCGTACACTGCTAACAGCTGGGAGCTGTTAAGACCCAACTGCCAGGCCACTACCTAGACCAATTAATTCAGAAGCTGAGTAATTTTATAGCTCCCCATGAGATTCCGAAGGACAGCTGAGATGGAAAAGATCAATCAGCCTAACTGGGTTTGAGGTGGCACCTGGCAGCACTGCTGGGAGGTGTGAGGTGTTAGGTCCAGACAATACAATTATACCAGTCTCCTGCCCAACCCCCTCCAAATTCTGAATTCCTGAAAGGAGACCAGCCATTATCTCAGTTCCCTCAAGGCAGTAGCCAAGTGCCAGGCACACTGTGGGAGCCTAGGAAATATAAGTCTCAGGGCCTCAAAGGCCAGGCAGAAAAGGCCTGGTGCCAAGAAAAAGTCTGGAAAAGAAACCCATTGGGTTGGGCCAGCCTCTGATTTGCTGTGTGACCTCCAGTGAGGCAAGTGCCCCTCTTTGTGCTTGTTCAATGCATGGCTGGCCTTCTAGAGTCCTTCAAGTGCCAACAATGAGTTTGCACTTAAGATAGTGGGAAGCCAGTTAGTACCAGGCTTCCTGCTCACTCCCAACAGTTGTCCCACCCCTTCCAGCCCTAAAATCTCTTCTGGGGCTCTATCCTATACTGGCTCCAAGGACAGAGACTCTGAGGTCCTAAAAGCCATATAAGAACCGCAAAACAGGAAACTCCAGAGGAAACCAAAACAGTACATGAGTAAAGAGATTTGTAGATAGTGAGCAGAGTCCAGGTAGAAGACCACAGGCAGAGCCAGCCCCGGCTCTCCCCTAGGAGTGGTAAAAAAGGTGAGGTGGTTCAAAGGACCAGAAACTCCCAAGGAGGAACTTCAAAAGGAAACACTCAAGGACTGAGATGAGTCCAAACAGGCTGTGGAGAAGGTTCCTGGCTTCTGGTCACAAGCACTGCCAAGGCCCTAATACACAACTGAAGGCTTTTATTGGGAAAGGGAAATTGACTGAAAAGTGGCCCCTGGATATGCTCACTGCCTAAGGCAGCTGGAGGTTCCTCCACAGAGTTCAGGAAAAACGGGCCCCCAAAATGAGCTCTCAGCAGGCTCAGGTGTAGAGATCAAAGTCAATCCGCTTGGAGTTGTAGAACTGTCCACCAGGTGGGTCCAGTTTTCGGCAATAAACACCATCCGGGAAGTAGCCTTCATTCACCCAGGTCTGCAAGAGAGCAGAGCTAGGGAAGACTGATGGGGTGGGGGCAGGGAGAGAAAAGACAGATGAAGTAGAAAGGGCTTACCTGCATCTGGGTGCTGGTGAAGGGCCCGTACAGCTCAGCATCACCTGTGTTCTCCCACTTATATTCCCACATCACATCCACCAGACCATCTCCTGACAACTCTGCTTCTAAAAACAGGCAAAGTCATTTGGGCTTAGTTCAAGTGCCCTGCCCACACACCCCTTCTCTGCCATTCAACCTTACCTCCTCTCTGGACAGGAGTTGGGGTCTCCAGCTCCCCCTCTGACACTTCCTCAGCAAACATGTCCAGAGAGGGTGAAGGTGTGGGGTCAGAGGGTCCCTGAGTCCGACACCCCAACCCCTTCAGACGCATGGCCAAGCGTTCCCTTGTCTCCTGATACACACCAAGATCGCCCCAGGCCACCATCTGGTCGGCCAACCCGGAAAGCCGGTCTAAACGCTGGGGTGAATTGGGCCGCCCAGGCCCCCTGCTGCCCCCTCTGCCTCCACCCCGGGCCCCCAGACGCCTCAGGGCCCCAGCCACTGTCTCTCTTGGCAACAACAGCTCCAGAAGGCCTTCCAGGAGGGCTTGGGCACTCATTGGTGTCCGACCCAGGTTGTCCTCCTCTTCTGAGTCTAACAGGGGGAGCTGATCTGGTGCCCGTTCCCTGATCTTCACCTGTAAGATGAAAATGGGGTGGGGGGGGCAGGTTCTACAAACTGCCAGCAGGACTCAAGCCCAGCACTTGTTGCCTTCAGGCCTCCAGGCATGCCAGGCCCTGGACCTCACCCAGTCAATGTTGTCCAACCAGCTATCTTGGATCTGAGCATCCCGGTTCAAAAAGTAGTTGCCATCAGCATCAAAGTGGCCTTCCTCCATCTCTTCCTGCAGGTTGAAGGGTGTGATCCTCACACCTCCCTCACTTGGGAGTGTGGCTGCTTCCTGACCTGTACCAAAGATACAGGGGTCCCATGCTAGGCATGCAAAAGAGAGAAAGGCGCCTCCCTATCCCACATCCCCAGAAGCCCCTATTTATTCCTCCAACAGAGAGTCAATTTTGGGGTTTAGCTCACCTTCTACATCCTCTGAGGCCAAGATATCATATTTGCTGGACCCCTCCTCCTCCTCCTCATCGCTGTCCAAAGAGTGTTTGCCTTTGAAGCGGCTCCCAGGACCCCCTGCCCCAGCCACAGGGTCCAACAGCTGTGAGCAGGAGGCAGCAAGCCATGAAATGCAGTTACTGACTATTCCTCCAAATACTCTAGGATCTGGACTCAAACTGCAAATCCTCCAAACCATTTCTCAGACAACATATAGAAATGTTACTCCTTTTTACCCTTTCTTTGTCCCCACAACTTCTTTCCTCTCCTGGCTTCTAGTTCCTTTTTTCCTCTTCACTCCTCCCCAGAACGCAGGAATCTGGCCCCCTCACCTTCTTGGGAACAACGATTTCATCCTCCTCATCTCCCACGCCTTGGAAGGTCACTTTTCTCTTTGGCATGACTGGACACAGATGGCCTTCCCCTAGCTGAGCCGAGGAAAGGGAGTAGATTGAGGGAACTGGGCAATGAGGATCCTCACCGCGAGAGGGCCCCCAGTACAACAAATAGTTCAGCTTGTACGTAACTAGATCCAGTTGGGGAGAGAAGGGAACACAAGAACCTGGTGCCGAAAGAATGTTGTCAGCCAGAAGGCACCAGGGACTTCATCCGAAAGAGTTGCTGGAGCGGGGACGCTGAGGAGGACGCGCGGAGGAGCTCCCCATGGGCACCCCCACCCTTGACGAAAGAAGCTGGGCTCCCCCGCATGACCACCCCACTCCCCGCAGTCCTGGGCGTAATGGGGCTCCGCGGGCGGACACCGCTCCTCCACTCCCAGCTCCCTCGGCGCCCGGAAGGCCCAGGACTTGGCGCCCTGTCTGCTACGCTCCTTCCCGCGTGGCCTCCCAACTCCGCAGGATGACCCCCAACTATCCAGGGCTAGTGTGTACAAACTAGAGAGGCGGCAGGGCCACGGAAATTCGAGCAGTCCCACCCTTGCTCTCACCTAATGGACCCGGATAATCAGGGAAGAAGAGCAACGACGCTTTCGCCAGGGCTATATCCGGGACACCCGGCCGCCATCACCCGGAAGAGAACTTCTGAAGGCGCCACGGAAGGCCGGAAGCGGCTTCCCTCGCGTTAGAGCACTAACTGGAAGAGCGAGCGGAAGTGGGCCGTGAGCGGAGGAAGACACACCCCGTCACCGAAATGACGTGATTTGTGGGGCGATGGTGGCTAGAAGGGAGGACCTGTGAACGCCTAGACGCTGATCGAACCAGAGGGATAGCAGGAAGTGATTTCGATTCCCTCCTACAGCAGCTAGAGGCTCCGGGGAAAAAGTGGAGTGCAATGTACTTAAAGGGGCGTCCGGGGTCACGATAAAGGAGCAAAGTTCGAGCAGGTCCAGTGGGTTTCTGCCTTAGTTTCCCTCCCAGGGTTGTCACCTTTCCCCCAGGACTGGCCAAGGGCTCTGCGCCCCTCATCATCTCATAAATCCTGCCTTCCTACTCTCAGCGTCCCGGTGCGACCTTCCTCTTTTCCCTGGGGAGCCCACCTGAAGGCCCTTTATGTTTCTGGGGCACTTTATAAACCCAGCTCCCTTTGGGGCCCAGAGGAAGTCATTCACCCCACGCCTATACTGAGTTCGTGGTTTGAGGTGGGAAGAGCCATCACAGGAGAGGTGGCAGTGGCAACCATACCCAGTAGTCTGGTTAGAAGCTTGTGCCCTGATCTCAGGTAGGCCTGGAGAAGAGCAGCAGTGCCTTTCTCTCAGACCACAACCACAGGATAAAGCCCCTCTCTTTAAAACGGCCCCAGCCGGGGACTTCTGCCCAGGCTCTATAATCAGCCCAGTTGTGGTTGGGAAGAGGGAGGAGCAGGTCCCAGTACTGTGGGGACAAGACCTCTCGCCCTTGAGGACACTTGTCTCAATCCCACTAGACTAAGGCTGTGCCCAGGAAGAGCTTACTGGACAGTATGGGAGTTTCCCAGATAAGACGGGCCAACCCTTCTCTCTCATGCCCCCAGGGTCTCCTTCCAGACAGGTCTATCATGAATACTGCACTGAAAGTCTGTGCTGTTTTTTCCGAGGGTACGAAACACAGGCTCCAGAAACACAGGCTCCAGACCGTGAAGGAATCTTGCTAAAGAAAGGGACTCTAAATATCATCAACCAGCACCGCTGGTTCAGCCTCTGGGTAAACCTCTTCTACCTGGAGCACCAGGCAGATCGCAACCCCCTAAGCCTCATGCTGTTGGAGAACTGCCAGGTGGAGTCACGCCTTGGAGCCACTGAACCCTATGCCTTTACCATCCTGACCCCAGGGTTGGAGGGCACAACAGGTGGGCAGGTCTTACAAGCTGACAGCAGAAAACCAGGAAGAGCTAGGAGCCTGGCTGTAGGCACTGGCTGGGGTGAGTTGGAGGCAGCTGGCTTCACTGCTACCCTGCCTGGAGGCCCAGTACCAGGAGCTGTGCCAGGCAGCTGGGCAAGAGCCCAGCTCACCTCTAGAGGACTGTGGCTTCCTAAGCACCCTCAGCTTCCCCTCCAGCTTCCAGGAGTTGCATGAACACTTTGGGAAGGAGATCCTGGTACTGCAAGTGGTACAGAGAGGGCTCCAGGAGGCCAGTGATAATGGAGGCAGCAGATTCCAAGCAAAGTTTGAGCAGGAACTCAACCATTGCTTGCTGATGAATGACTGAGAGATGGACCAAAGGCCAAGAGGTACCTACCTGCCAAGACCAGCCAGCTGCTTCAATAGACACCCAGATTTTGAATCGCTCTGTTGCCTTCTCCCTCCCTAGTCCTCATTCTGACGCCCTTCATCAAATAACAAGGCAGGAGACAGGCCCAAGTACAACAGCAGATTCTTTTCCTGCTCCTCAAAGCGCCGCAGAGTGGGGCAGAGACAGAAGAGAATGTAAACATTGGGTTCCACCCCATGGAGCTCAAGGGAAGACCCCTTACCCCAAAAGGGGCTGGAGAGATGGAAGAGAACAGGTGAAAGATGGGGGCCCTGGTGAGACAAAGCAGGGGGATGTCTGGAAATACATAGGAAGGTAGGTGAAGAGGAAGGAAATCAAGGAGGGTGGTAGGTAGGGAAGTGGGGTACATTCCTGTTCCAGTGCATGTCCCCTTAAATAAACTTGAGTGTAAGAACACTGTGGAAGGAAAACCAAACGACAGAAGACAAAGCAAACACCCCCACCCCAGGCTGACCATGTCTTCTGTACGTAATTATAACACAGAGATGTCCAGAAATCGAGTGAGGAGAGCCTTGGGCCCAGCCAGGAAGTGGAGGAGACAGGCAGGATTGAAGAAGGGAAATAGGAACCCAGCTCCGCTTCATGGGTAAGGGATCAACTAAGATATAAGAATCTGAAAACTGCTGACTCCCATTGCCAAGAGTCACCCCTGAGGTGACAAAAAGCCAATCAGGACAGCACCTGGGAAGGGACCCCAGAGGGAATTGGGGCAGGAGTGACAGAGACCCCAGCTGGGCCTAATTGGAGGTGAGGGACTCCAGACTTGGTCATGGCTGCCCAGGGAAATGCAGCTGCCCTGTTCACTCTGACTGTCCTGGCAGCTAGCAAGGAGATGGAGAATCAAGCCACTTTCCTGCCAGGGCGTTGGAGGCAGCACTCCTGGCTGAGGGAAAAAGAGGGGGGCCATGCAGTCCAGCCCCAGAACAGAGGTCAGAAGTAAGCATCCTGCCGGGCCTCAGAAGCCACAGACCTGTCCCCACCATCCTGTGGAGCTGGGGGCCCCTCTGCCTTCCGTCGCAGTGAAAGCTTTCTGCCTTGGGCCTTCCTCTCCTGCTTCTGCCGTTCCTTCTCCTGCTCTTTTTCCCACTTCTGCCGATCCTTCTCCTGCTTCTCCCGCTCTTTCTCCTGTTTCTGCCGCTCCTTCTCACGTTCCTTCTCCTGTTTCTGCCGCTCCTTCTCCTGCTTTCGAGTCTCCTTGCTGGAACCAAGTGGCATGCTATTGCCAGTAGGTGAAGGAAGGGATGGATGCAGTCCCTCAGCAGTGACCACTGGCCCTGGGGTAGGCCCAACACTGGCCCTGCGGGCAGGAAGAGGTGGAGAGGGGGCTCCTCCACCTGCCCGGGAGCCTCGGCTCTTGAGGCCAGGGAGGCTGAGGAGGCTGGAGGAGGGACCTAGGGGTGGCTGTTGCCGGCGGCGCTCCTCATGGATGGCCCGGGAGCCATGTAGTCGTCGTGAGGGCCGATACTGTAGCTCCCCCCGGGTTTCCCGCCACTTCTTGAGCTGGGCTGCATTCTCTCGCTCAATCAGTGCTTCCGTCACTGGGAGGTTGGTCACCTAGCAGAGAAGAAATGGGTATCAGAATGAAGTAAGGGTGGGGATGAGCTGAACCAGGTATGGGGTGTGCTCAGGCCAGGACCTACCTCATGCACCAGAAAGTCCTCCTGCATGCACTGCTGGGGAAGATTGCGCAGCTGCTCCATGGTTTCATACATGCCTTGGCAGGAGCGCAGCTTCTCCACTGAGCCAAGAGTGTGCCGCAGCAGCACCAGGGCCACCCGGAAGATGATCTTGACGCCTGCAGGACCAGAGAAGAGAGTATGGGTGACCAGGCCTGGGATCTCAGCCTGTCCCATTTAGGAAGGACTCATAGCCCCCATCTCTGCCTACTGCCAACCTGACAAATGGGGAAACTGAAGGCCCAAGAAGGGAAATGAGCTGCCATGGGTTTCAAGTTCCTGGGAGGGAAAACAGGGTCTGAGATTGGTTGTGGAGACAAAACAGGCCTCACTTTCCCCAGCCCCCAGACTGTTTACAGTGAAGCCTAGGCCCAACAGTACCTTCTGGCAGTGGGCCACCCTCTGGCAGCCATCATGGAAACCCCAGACCCCTCATGGCCCGAATGGCTACAAAAGTACCTTCACAGAAGAACATATCCCAGACACGCAGCACTGAAGCCCAGGGAAGGGTGCGAGCAAAGATGCACATGAACCATTCCGTCATGTAGAGCACAGGGTCAATGCGTTGCCGCCGCAGGTGCCGATGTGCCAGTGGGGAGGCCCGGCGCAACAGCACAAAAAAGATTTCTCCATCCAGCTGAATGGCCTCCTGGAAGTGGGTTAAGCCGTAAGAAGAGGCCTGATGTGGCTCCCTGGGGATAGAACTGGCCCTGGTAGGGAGTCTTCACCTCAGTGGGCAAGGCACATAGCAAAGGGATAGAGCACAGTGTGGGATAAAGACCTCACTGCACCCTTGTGGTATGGTCACAGCCCCCGCTGCACCCAGCCTCGAGATGCTCACCAGCCCTGCACTGTAGTAACCGGGGAGGTACTTGTCACAGATCTGCACCAGGCACCAAAAGGCTTGCTGAGAAGGGTAAGAGCAAGGAGAGAGGGTTAGGGCCTGAGAAATGAGCAGAGAGATTCCCCATCACCACTGCTGGCCAGATCCTCCCAGCCCCTCCCCAGCCAGGACCAGTGCATGCTGACCTCAGCAGGCATGTGCATAAGTAGCACAGCAGCCACTGGGGCCTGGGCCTGGCAGTAGCCCTCGTCGGGTCGGTAGATAGTGTAGGCCTTCAATATTCTATACAGGTCCTGTTGCCTGTGGGTATTGGGAAAGACATGAGGGCAATCATAGGAGTTGGGAGTGCTCCGCCCCCAACTAAACCCACCGCCGCAACAGACCCAACCCAGATCCCTCCTAGAGCCAGTTCCAGGTTAACTTCCAAGCTTTACCACAAACAAAAGACTCAGACCCTAATCAAAGCATTCCAGGCCCCAGTCTTCCACCTTTGCCTGCACACACCACTTGCTCCCTGCCCATACCCAGCACAGGCTGTGCTCTCCTTCCATCTGCAACCATCCCATAAACCTTCAAGGTCACCGACTTCTGGAAGTTTTCACTAACCACAGCATCAGCCCTCTTCTAGCACTGCCTGAATGCTTTTATCATCCCGGACCAGGAGCTCTCCCAGTGCACGTCTTGCATTATCCATCTCAACTGGATTTCATCAGTTCCCTGCCAGCATGCAGAATGGACCCAGGTTCTTGATGAAGGCTTGAGAAGCCTTTTTCTTGTCTCTGTATCCAAAAGGATAAAATCTCTACCCTAGACCTGCTCCTCTTCCTTGAGGGTGCCCTGTCACTGTGGGAATTCCATGCACTCAGCCCCACATCAGGAAACAGAGAGCCTTCATCACTCTCCATGGCTAACCGCCAAGTCTCACAAACACTATATCCTGAATTTCATTCATGTCTGTTCCTTCTCTCCACCTCCACAGCCACTTCACAGCTCAGACCTTCATCTCTTACGCAAAAATAATGATCTCCCAGATAGCTGCCTCCAGTCACACACATACTTCTGACCACTGCTTAGAACAGCATTACCCAAACTTCAGTCATGGAAGTGTGATCTTCATTTGTGCTTTATCGGCATACCACCCCTATTATTTATGTAATATTTGTTCCCCACTGTGCAACAGCATCCATGAAACACCAGGTTTGATATGCTAGTTATTGTACATTATGCATAGTAAATTAAAAGTGTAACTTCCACCAGTTCCCATCTACATTCACCAACCCATCTGCTTCTGTGTCCCTGCCTTCTCCCCTGTTGCTGTGGGTGAACTGTCTGTGATCCTGGCCAAGCAGAGCCTTTTCACTTGGGCACTGGATCCCATCCCCTCTTTCCTACACAGGCCATCACTCCAGCAACCTTCTCATCTCTACTGCATTGTTAATTTCTCTCTTTACTGGTTATTCACGTTGATACACCAACATCTAGCTTTTCTCTAGTTTAAAAAAAAGTCTCTAGACCCTATCTTCTCCTCCAGATACCACACCATTTCTTTCCTTTACCTATTCAGCAAAACTCCTCCAGAGTACAGGCTCACCGTTT